GAGGGTGTATATGCATTCAGATGATAAATTAGGATATTTCAACTAATTTAAACTGTAATAAGATATATAGAGATGTTTGTACATATATAAAACACATTACATATGTAAACATACGTCTGCATTTGGGGGGTGTGTGTGTTCTCTATTTGTAGGTTTAAGATTTTTAGATCTTCCCCTCAGGCCACCCAACATCTGTGTATGTGTGTGGGGACTGACTGTGTGGGACGGGTGTTCTGAGCATCTGCTATGGGCCAGGCCTGGTCGTGAGACACCGGAAGGTCCGTTTATTTTAATACCACCAGATCCACTACCCCCACTTTTCTCAAAGCTTGAAGCTGACAGCTTAAGTAATTTGGGTAAGAGCATGCAGCTGATAAGCAGCAGAGCCAAGGTTTTAACCCCAAACAGGGGTCCATCTGCTGGACTTGATTTTTCAAGGACTCTCCGCCTGGTCCTACAAAGGCTTCATGTCACCCACTGTTTGTCTTATCAAATTCCTTCCTTACTTCTGGTTCTTTTGACTTCATGTATTTTGGTGATATGCTCTTGAGTCCATAAATTTCCATTTTTTTTTTCATAATAAAACAAGATTTGTTCTGCTTATTCACGAGTTTTATCTTGGTGGCGGTTACCATTTCTAGCTTTTTCCGTTTTGCTTGATATTTAAATCCTTTGTTTTCAGTGCAGTGTAACAACCCAGTTGGCCTTTCATAGCATTGTCTGTGCAGTAGATCATAATCTTTAATGAGAAAAGGGTTTTTTGGGGCTCCTGGGGGGCTCAGTCAGTTGAGCGTCTGACCCTGGGTTTTGGCTCAGGTCTTGATCTCAGGTCATGAGATCGAGCCCCGAGTCAGGCTCTGTGCTTAGTGCAGAGTCTGTGTGAGATTCTCTCTCTCCCTCGGCCCCTCCCCCTCTACACGCACATGCTCTCTCTCTCTCAAATAAATAAATGAATCTTCAAAATAAAAAGAACACAGTTTTGTGTATTTTGTGCATAGCTGTATTTTTAGCACCTATACCTGGACCTGGCTTACAGACACTCCATAAATATAGATACTTACTGACTAACTTAACAAACTGGGTCTGAAACCCTTTGAACTGGATGTTTGGACCTATTCAAAGTTATTGTTGTGAATGGCAAGTTTAAAGTTATTGTTTAATTCTCTGTCACAGTTTTAACATTTACTTTTGTCCTTGTGGTTATCTTTTACTACTCTTCTTTTTTTTAAAATAGTTTTTATTTTTAGGGACACCTGTGTGGCCCAGTCAATGAAGTGTCTGCCTTCAGCTTGGGTCATGACTGCAGAGTCCTGGGGTCAAGTCGCACACTGGGCTTCTTGCTCCGAGGGAACCTGCTTCTCCCCTCCCTTTGCTGCTGCCCCTGCTTCTGTGCACACACACTCTCTCTCTGTCAAATAAATAAATAAATCTTTTAAAAAAGGATTTTATTTTTAAGTCTTCTCTATACCCAATGTGGGCTCGAACCCACAATCCCAAGATCGAGAGTTGCACACTTTGTGCCAGCGTCCCTCCCGTCTGTGTTTCAGTGCTGAGCTTCCCTCTTACGGTGAATGCTGAGAGCCCTTCTGTCTCACTGGGGTGGGAGCTCCTGCCTCCCTGCCCGTCTCCATGCCCACCCTTCACCCCTTCTGTAGCTGATGGAGCCTGCTGTTCTAAAGGTTATCGTCCCATTAACTGGCATCATAATCATCTACCATTGGGACTTCTAATTTCAGTTATAACCTTCCCATTATAGCCTTATAATGGTCACAGTTCTTTTCAAGAATTGTCATGTGCATCTGGATTAAACTTAGGACTTTGTTAGCTACTATTTACAGATCAATTTTGGGGCTGCTGGCGGGCTCCGTTGGAAGAGCATGTGACTCTTCATCTCTGGGTCATGAGTTTGAGCCCCACGTTGGGTGTGGAGATGACTTAAAATAAATAAACTTTAAAATCAGTTCTCTATTTGAATGGTTTCATGGCTCAGCACCATCTTGACGGTATCAGAGATGTATCACATTCTTTTTTTTTTTTTAAGATTTTATTTATTTTCCCTCCTACACGGTTGGTGGGAATGCAAGCTGGTGCAACCACTCTGAAAAACAGCATGGCGGTTCCTAAAAAGTTGAAAATAGAGCTACCCTACGACCCAGCAATCACACTACTGGGTATTTACCCTAAAGATACAAATGTAGGGACCCAAAGGGGCACGTGCACCTGAATGTTTATAGCAGCAATGTCCACAATAGCCAAACTATGCAAAGAACCTAGATGTCCATCAACAGGTGAATGGATAAAGAAGATGTGGTGTGTATATATACACATACATATGTGCGCGCGTGCGTACACACACACACACACACACACACACACACACACACACTGGAATACTATGCAGCCATCAAAAAGATGAAATCTTGCCATTTGCAATGATGGATGGAACTAGAGGGTGTTATGCTGAGCGAAATAAGTCAGAGAAAGACAATTACAATATGACCTCCCTGATACAAGGAATTTGAGAAACAAGACAGAGAATCGTAGGGGAAGGGAGAGAAAAATGAAACAAGACAAAACCAGAGAGGGAGGTAAACCATAAGAGACTCTTAATCTCAGGAAACAAACTGAGGGTTGCTGGAGGGGAGGGAGTGGGAGGGATGGGGTCCCCTTGGGGAGGTGCCCTACGAGATGTATCATATTCTTACACTGAGTTAACTCTTTCTCAGGTTGGGCTCCAGGAACTTATTTTAGGAGCGTTCACAGGTAGCCTGGGTTCTTTCTGCTTGGACATCTGAAGATGGCCTGCATGCAGGAGTTCTGGGTTTGTCCTGTTTCCTCTTAGAGCCAGAGTTTGTGGTTCACCAACACGGACCTTTAATTTTGCAGAGAAACTATCTGAAGCTACATTTTTTTTTCCATCTTAAGAAGCTTCTTGTGTTGGGGTGCCTGTGTGACTCAGTCGGTTAGGTGTCTGTCTTCACCTCGGGTCATGATCCCAGTGTCCTGGGATTGAGCCCAGAGTTGGGCTTCCTGCTCACGGAGGAGCCTGCCTCTCCCTCTACCCTTCATCCCTGCTCATGCTCTCTCTCTCTCTCTCTCAAAAACATAAACAAAATCTTAAAAAAAGACAGAAGCTTCTTGTGAACTCTTGGATGTGTACTCCACTTTCAATTGGAATTCCAGATTTTATGAGATCTGTTAGACACTCGTCTGCTTGAATGTTTTCACCTGTTCTAAGAAAGGCTCCAAAACACGCAGACTCAGGGGTTCTTGTGAGCAATAGGGAGTTTTCTTCCTTCTGTGGTTCCTGACTCTGCTCTGGCCCCTTTCCTCCCCTGGGCCTGGAGTCCTCTTAGGCTTGGCTCTCCCACGTCTGTCCTGGATTGTCTTGTTTTTCCTGTGTCTCGTGGCTGTCCTCTGGGAGATGGGACGGCGTCCTAGGTTGGTTCTGCATGGAGATTTGTCCTATTGCCGTTTCCAGGATGCTGCCCATCTGCCGTTGGCTGACTCTGGGGTCAGCGGCCTAGAGGTCAGTCTTCAGCCCAGATTTCGGCTTCTAATTACTCCCTTCTCGGCCCTCCTGGACTCGTTATGAAAACACAAGGCCGAGATTGTCTACGTTTTCTCCTCTCATTCATGTAATCAGCTCAGATGAAGAGCTTTCTCTCTCCTGTTCACGCGTTGGTCTCGTCTCTTGACCACAAGGGTCATGACGCAAGCCGTAGACATAGTGGATCGCACTTAGCCGTGCAGGCAAACGATGGCAAGGGTGTGAGTGCAAATGGGACAGGTTCATGTGAAGGCAGAGGGGGAAGTGTGGATGTGACTGAAGCCCTTGCACACCGCTCCATGCATCTGGTAGCCAAGCTGAGGGAGGAGAGGCTCCAGGCCTTGCTGGGGTTGAGGGGCGCTGTTCAAGGGTGCTCCGGCCGTGGCCCAGGGGGACCCCTGCCCTGTCTTTGGGCTGGCAGCAAACCATGACTTCACGGAGCACCTTCTCTCTTCTGGGGCAGTTGTTTTTGCCTCCTGTGCTGGTGTGACCTGGGCCATGAGGAGGGTCTCCTGGTGACCCCAGGGACGTGTGGTTGACCTCCCAGACCCTCTTTACTCAGCCTTGTCTTTTTGGCACGTAGACCATTTCAGAATTAAAAATAGAGTAATGTTGCCATGGCCACTTTTCTGGATATCGTTTTCTATTTCACTTAAATCATTTCTGAGGATAGAGTTGTTTTATCTTTAGAAAAAAGGCATGGGATTTTTGTGTGTGGGGGTCACTGACTAGGAATATGTTTATGATACCAGATTGTTTTACAGAAGTCTGGTGCTCATTTGTCCTGCCAACAGCAATAAAGGATCAAATATAGGTGGTTGTCCTCTATCTTCAGCAAGTCTTGGGTATCGTAGAACAAATGCATGGTATTACCCAAGAACATATATATTTTTAATTTATTTATTTGAGAGAGAGAGTGATCTCAAGAGAGAGCACGAGCAGGGGGGAGGAGCAGAGGGAGAGGGAGACACAGACTGTCTGCTGAGTGGGGAGGCTGATTCGGGACTCAATCCCAAGACCCCAGGATCCTGACCTAAGCCGAGGCCAGCTGCTAATCCAACTGAGCCCCTCCGGGTGCCCCCGGAGAGTATATTTTTGAGGAGGAAATGTGGACAAACATGATTTTGTGTAGCTGGGGACATAACTGGGGACATCTGCTGTTCCCACAATGAGCTCAGTTCTGGGGCCACCGTGCTGGATGGGTGGATGGCATTTGCAGGGAGAGTCCATGAGAGTGGTCTCAGGGCTCACCTCGGAGATGAGGATGCTAGAGCCAGTCACCTGGCCTGGGGAGGCATCGGTGTCCTGCTGGTGACATTGGTGGATCTTTCCTCTGGTGGCCGGTCGTGTCTCTAAGGCTTCTCCCCCTCTTGTCCCCACACAACCCCTAAGAATCTTCCTAAGGCAGTATGATAGAGTGGGAGACACACCCACATGTGCTGTTTTGCAGGCAAATCATACGTTCCGTTTCGTGGACAAGCTAAAGATGTTAACAGGAGCGCTGCTGAAAATGTCCAGCATGTTTCAGAATGGAGGAAATGACCAGATGCTCGACCAGCTGCAAGTGAGTGATAGCCGCCTTCACACCAGGGCCAGGGGCAGTGGGAGCAACTGTGAGGGCGCACCTTGAACTCGGAGTGGCCCCTCAGAGGAGCCCACAGAGCCCCTTGGGTGTGGTTGTCTGCTGACTAATAATAATGATCTAGAGTTGAATGTGTAAGTCAGCTTTGTGAATTGTCAAGGGCTTGATGCGTGCCAGATGTCATTATTATGAGCACGATGAATAATTTAATAGTATTTGCCTGTTCTTTAAATTCCATAAATGGAGGGACTCCTGGGTGGCTCAGTCAGGGAAGCACCTGCCTTTGGCTCAGGTCGTGGCTCAGGGTCCCAGGGTCGAGTCCCGCATCGGGCTCCCTGGTCAGTGGGAAGTCTACTTCTCCCTCTCCCTCTGCCCCTACCCCCTGCTTACGCTCACTCTCTGTCAAATAAATAAATAAATAAATAAATGAATGAATGAATGAATGAATGAATGAATAAATAAATAAATAAATAAAATCTTTTAAAAAAATTCCGTAAACGGAGGCACATTTCTGTACCTTAATGCTCTTCTGAGTGGTTTGCATACTTTTCCAATTGTGGGTCTACTTAAAGGGCCAGTCATCACTCCCTGACATTCTGTATCTACACCCTAACATATTCCAGAATTCTGGGGGCTGTGGTTTAAGATGGCCAACTCCTGCCTGACAGCTGTGAGCTTCAGAACTTCACAGGAGGTAGGCCCCATCATAACCTGGGACGTTTGTGTAACCGCAAGTCCCCTAAATCTGACGGCAGGAGAAATCACGCTCACCTTTTTATTCTGTTTGGTCTGTTTCTTATGCACCAGACAAGTAGTCCAAGCGACTCATAGCTCAGGATCCTGCCCGGCTGGCTTTCATTCCCGGTCTAGCCCAAAAGTGGAGTGAACTGTCCCAGAGCTGCGGTCAGTTTCCCCTGGGGAGTCCCGTGCCAGGGGTCCCTCGGCTTCTGGCAGTGGGCCTGGCAGGGAGCTGCTGGTCTGGGGCAAACCCAGGTGGTTTCAGAGCCCAGAGACAGCCGTCAGTCCCATCCTGGTGTTTGACGGTCTGCGATGCTGGTTCTCAGTGGCCCCCGCTGTGTGAGTGCGAGGGCTATTGTCATTTTCTTCTTGAACTTATTTGCTCACGGATTAATTTGTTAATACTGGGATCAGCAGGCTTTTTCTCTAATGGGTCAGATCATAGATAGCTTAGGCTTTGAGAGAGTCTGTGCTGCCATTGGAAGTAATTACATGGAACATCGTGAACAACAAACGGAGAGTTTCCGAAGTCATGTGAGCACCTGACTCCCCACCACCCCAATCCCGGGGTCCACGTGGCTCCTGGGAGAGGTCCTCCCATGAGCCAGCACCGTGTCAAGCAGCCGTGTTAGAAACACAACTCCTTCTTCCATTGCCTGAGGTTCTCGTCTTTGAGGACCAAGTGTGGTGAGTGGCGCACCGTCTCCCAGTGTGGCAGTCACGATCAGGGAGTGTGAGGAGCCCTTGGGGGTGTAGCATCTGACACCTGTATTCCACACCTGGCTCTTGCCACCAGACCAGACCCAGACGGCCTTTCTGCTCAGTGAAAAGCAAGCGATCCCCTCTCAGAGATGTGGCCGAGCATAGATGATTAATACACAGGAAGTGCCCACCCTGGTCTGGCCTGCGGCGGATGCTCAACAAAAGATACACAGGATTCCAGTAAAATAAAAGTGCGCCCCAGTGTTTCATAAGGAAATCCTGTCATCCGTACGCGAGGGTCATAGAATCCTCACATCCAGGAAGCAGAGGCTGAGGAATCACAGACCTGAATTTAGAGGGTGGACACTGAGAATTCCTTACTGGAAGTCCTAAGTTTCGAGGCTGTGTGCTCACACGGAGTCAGGGTCACGTGTCAGTATTCGCTAGGGAACGAACAAGTTCCAGAATCAGTCCTCATTCTGCCAGCCCCCTCCTTGCTGAGTCCTGGCTCTGGCCTCAGGACCTCAGAGTGTCCCCCTCGGTCTCAGTGGGCTGTTGGCTGTTGCCGGGGGCATCGACCAGGAGGCAGGCTTTCACTCCAAGCACCTTGGGGAGCCCTCCTTAGTAAAAACATGGACGAAGAAGATTTGGAGTCATCAGTATGAATGAGGGATCACGTGGATCATGATCTGTGAGTTTCTTCCCAAGAAGACATTTGATGGCCAAAAAGGGTTCAGGAAATACAGAAAGCCTTCCACAGTGGTTTCATGTGAGGGACCCTGTCTCTACAACTGGCATGTGGAGAACACACTGGAAAGGAGCTTTTAAGAAAGCTATCTATTAGTTTAATATTTGTTTGTTTGTTTTTAGAGAGAGAGCGCGTGCGTGCCCATGGGTGTGTGAGCAGGAGGGAGGGACAGAGAGAGCCCTAAGGATTATTTTATTTCATTTAAAGTAGGCTCCACGCCCAACATGGGGCTTGAACTCATGACCAGGAGAGCAACAGTCACATGCTCTACTGACGGAGCCAGCTAGGTAGGCGCCCTGTAAATGAGCTTCTATAAAGCATCACCCTCTCCTCTTGTTAGAAAATTCTCCTGAAAAGTCAACTCTTACTTCATTCTTTGTTTTCAGTGGCCATGCATAATTTCAATGACAGTCTAAATTGTCAGAGTCAGTACTCTTGTTTTTCACGGTGGGGTCCTAACCAACGGTTAGCCTGTCATTTACCATGACTTTTGGAACCTCTTTGATCAAGATTCACTTTACGTGTCTTTTTCTTGTATGATGAAACTTCGAATAACTCTAAGAAGAATTATTTAGTAAGAGGAAATGAGATTATTTTTGTTTACGCTGTATTATTTTCCTTAGGAAGCTCTGAGGAACAAGTTTATAAGAAACTTTATAGAGAGCCAACTGCACATTGATGTTGATAAACTGACGGAAAAGCTCCAGACTTATGGTAAGTAGGTGGGGTGTGTGAGTATAAGCGGGTGGGCGTGTCCATGGGTGTGTCCTTTTAGGCGAGTGTGTCTGCGTATGTGGGCGTGTCCATGTAAATAAGTGGGCGTGCCCACTACGTGGGTGGGCGTGGCACGGTCCACTTACCCAGTGGCCCACCACTGGCGCCCTCATCCTTCCACCTCCAAGGTTCTGGGTGACACTGACAAGTTGCTCTTCCTCCAAGGTTCCTCGTACCTGAAATTTTCTGATTTATGGAGTCAGGGCTTGATTAGCAAGGAACGTGGTCAAAAAGGAAGGCCTCTGATGTGAATACAAGAATAAATGAGACTTAAAACAATTAATGAGTTTTTGAAACAAATGAGTGTTCCTGAGTTAATAGTTGAATGAAAGCAGGTACATTGACTTGAAAATTTGGAGCTCAGGTTAAAAAGTTCTATCAGCCCACCAGTGGTTGTATTGTGTCTCTCTAGTTAATGCATGAATTCATTTAGATATTGAACGATCATTCACTAAGTACAAGGAGAGCTGGGTCCTGTGCCAGGATCTGGAGCCCCTGCCCACTACTGCACAGGGCACAGAAGGCCATGTTAGGAACAGTGATGCGGTGGCAACATTGGGTTTTGTCAGGAGCATCCCGGGCAGGATCTCAGGAGCCCTGCTCTGCTGGGTGGTCCCCTGAGGGAAGGGAGGGAGTCTCTGGCTTCTGGTGTTGCCTGTGCCTGGAAAGGGGCTGGTGGCCGCCTGTGGTGTGGCGCAGAGGGCCGGGCATTGCGGGAGGCACCCTGCTTCCCTCTTCTGAAAAACACAGACATGGTGAATTTACTCCCATAGAAAAGTTAATGAATTTAAATTATTTCCCTTTTATTTTATTTCTTAAGCAGGCTACATGCCCAGTGCAGAACCCAATGTGGGGCTCGAACTCATGACACTGAGATCAAGACCTGAGTGGGTCCCTTAACTGACTGATCCAGCCAGGTGCCCCAGGTTAATGATACTTAAAAATAAATGTCACTGCCTTAAGTCATTTTTCAAATAATTAAAAGTACTTCTGTATGTTTTACAAAGATCCTTTCTGTAACTCTGTAGGTAAAGAATTTGATCACCTTACTCCATGCATCCTTTTAAAATCACAGGCTGGATCCGTTGGAAGAGCATGCCAGTCTTGATCTTGGGGTCACGAGTTTGAGTCCTACGTTGGACTTAGGAGACTTAGGACTTAGGACTTAGGAGATTGCCTAAGAAATGAATAAATAAAACAAAAAAAATTGTTAGTGAGGTCATCTATTTCTCTGCATTGGAACCAGCATCTGGAGCCTGGGGCCAAAAGGGAGCATTTGCAAGTAATTTGTAGCAATTTCCTAGAATGTTTGTCCAGTCAGGCTCTTGATTTTATTCCTTAACTTTTTAAAGGTAACTGTTGGATTGTTACAAAAGGAATTTATGCCTGTTATAGAAATATTAGGAATACAAAGAAGCCAAAAAAAAAAAAAAATCTATGCATAACCTCATCATCAGAGGCAGCCTGGGGTTAATTTTTCAGACAGATTTGCATGGCTCATGCGAGCGCGGGTATGTGTATTTTCACAAAAATGATCACACTGTTTACAGTATCCTGCAAACAGCTCATAAATGGATGCTGGGGGTTCCTGCATGGTACAGTTGGTTAAGCATCTGACTCTTGGTTTTGGCTCAGGTCATGATCTCAGGGGTTTTGGATGGAGCCCCGCATCAGGTTCCTTGCTCGGCAGGGGGTTTGCTTGGGCTTCTCTCTCTCCCTCTGCCCCTCCTGGTGGTGCTGTTTCTCTCTCTTTCTCTAAAAATAAAATAAATAACATCTTAAAAAAATAAAGAAATGGATTCTGTTGCAAAGATTCTTCATGTCTTTCAGGACTTCCTGTTCCTAAAAGTCTCCTGTCCAGCCCCCTACCACATCCAACCCCTAGCACAACCTACTTTAAACTTGTTTAGCTGTTTCTGTGGATTGTATCTTTGTATCATGGCCTGATACATTATGTATCGTTCTATCTTTACATAGCAGTTAATCCATTTTTCCCCGCTTCGAGAGATGCAGCCTTGCTTCTTCCTCTGGGCCCCATCGCTCCCCTGCGGTGATGTGATCGTTTTCCTTATAGCCACATCACGACCAGATGAATACAGTTCGGTGCAGAATTAGGCTGCAGGTTGTAATGATGTTTCCTTTCTCACAATGTTTCCCTCTTCCTAGGCTTTCTGTTCTTTGGCTCCTCAAGTCCCCTGCCCTCCATGCCAGTGTGCCACCCTTCTGGGGGAGACGGGTTCCCTCCATCTGTGTGGACAGACATCTGCTGGCTTGCCTTCCTGCCCCTGGGGCTGGCGGGTGCCCCCGAGTGCTCCCAGGAATTGCCTGCTCTGTTCTCCCAGGTGGGAGACCGGGTCTCCTGGGCTCTTCAGCCTCCCCACTCTTGTTTTATGATCGTGTTTTGCTGGTTGATATCTTAAAATGCCAGTCTGCAAGAGGGTGCATGGGAGAAGCATTTCCTGAGCAATTTTACTGTATAAATTCATTGTTACATCTGAAGGGTATGTGGGAATATTCCCAATTTCACAGATACATTTTGATTTATGTTCTTCTCTCTCTCTCTCCCTCTTCATACTTTTATTTTTTTGATCAGTCTTATTAGAAGGTAATAAATGTTAGTTGTTTTTTTTTTAATAAAACAAGTGTTTGGCTTTAGTGATAATTGTGTTTATTTTCTATTTCATTGACTTCTGATTTTTTTGCATGTTTTTGTGTTTTGTTTCTGGTTCTGTCCTTTCACACTCTTTGGCTTGTCACCTTTTTTTTTTTTTTTTTCTTTTGGTAACTTCCTGAGAGAGAGATTCAGATCTGTGATTTCTACCTTCTTTTTCTTTCTCTCTCTCTGTGTGTGTGTGTGTACACACACACTTATGATGACACACTTCCCTCTAGACATTGTCTCATTGCCTCTCATAGATTTTGATATGTTCTGTTTTCATTAGCATTCACTGTAGTGTGCTGTTTCTGATCCTTGGGTTGTTTGAAAGTTTATAGCTTATTTTCTAAATATCTGTGATTTTCCGTTTGTTTATTTATTTACTTTTTAAGATTTTATTTATTTGTTTGTTAGGGACGTGGTGGAGAGAGCACAAGCAGAGGGGGCAGCAGGCAGGGGGAGAAGCAGGATCCCCGCCAAGCAAGGAGCATGACACGGGGCTGGATGCCAGGACCCTGAGATCATGACCTGAGCTGGTGCTTAACTGACTGAGCCCCCCAGGTGCCCCCTTACTGGTTTTTCGTAGAATCATTCTATCCGTTATTTACAGGTGTGTGTGAAACTTCCCATTTGGACTGTGGACTTGTCTGTTTGTCCTTATGTTCTGTCAATGTAGGATTTATACAGTTTGAGGCTGTGTTTTGTCTTTTATTGCTAACGTGTTCGATATTTATATTTTCTTCAGTTGGCTTAGTTTGGGGCCGCTGGGTGAGTCTGCTGTAATGTCCGTGGCAGGTGGGGCCTGCTATTATGTTCTGTTTTCAGGTGAAACAACGTTTCGTCTCTGGGGTCGGGTGCAGGAGTTTGAAGGCTCAGTTTCCTGCCTACCTGAAGCTTTGGGCTTCTCCTTGTCTGAGTCTCTGGGCCGGCTTCCTGGGTGGTCGGGACGGCATATTTTATTCCGTAGGAGATGGGACTGTGAATCAAGCCAACAGGACAGGACCAGAGCCTGCACAGCTCATGGTGTGGGGACCTGAATGGGGCAGAGTGTGCGCTGAGCCCCTTGCTCTGCCGACGGGAGAAGCCGTGGGCTCTGCCTTCTGCTCAGCCGCCTGCAGGGCTGTGAGCGCGCTCTGATTAGGGTCCCTGGAGACAGAGGCTGGAGGCTGTGTTCAGCCACGGGCAGGACTTCAAAGAGATTCTTGGCTGGGGCACAGTGGGACAAGCAGCCCTAATATCTAAAGCCCTTTGTCTTTTTAGATTTGTTTTAAAAATTTATTTATTTGAGAGAGAACGAGAGCAGGAGCAGGGGAGGGGGGAGAGGGAGTGGGGGAAGCAGGCACCCTGCTGAGCAGGGAGCCTGATATGGGGCTTGACCCTAGGACCCCGGGATCACACCCTGAACGGAAGGCAGACACATAACCATCTGAGCCCCCCAGGCACCCCTTGTTTGTCTTAACTCTAGACAACCCGCATGCAACCCAAGGTCCCTGATGGGACGAGGCCACTGTTCGTCGTTCTGAGAACTGGCCTGCGGGCTCCATCTGCCGTGTCGGCTTGAGTGCTGATGGGCTGCCTGACTCCGGTCATGTGGGGCGAGAAGACCATGTCCATGGCAGGTGGGGCTGAGTCTCCACTCCCCTGCCTGGGCAGGAGCAGGACCGGCCACTCCGGGTTATACTCCCGGTTTCCCAAACACGCTCTCTGGTGGTGAAGGCCCAGGAGCCGCCCTCAGCCGTGGCTCTGAATTAGACCCCAGTGGGTGAGCTTACAGAGCATGTGTTCTGAGATGCGTGGTCCGCAATGTAAACACGCCCTTGGTTTGCACCGTCCTGTAAAATTCCCTACTCTGCGGGTGTCCCTCCAACACAAGAGAGCGAGCAGCAGGCATACTGGGAGCCCCTCACAACGCATGCTTTGGTCTCCCGCTTTCTAGTTGCTCTGTCTGCCGTCATCCTGAAGGGTTAAATGAAGACCACTGGGCCTGGCTCTCTTCTCCAGCAGTTCTAACTGTCAGCGTGAGCACTTCTTACACGGGCGCTGAACAAACTTTACTTTAGAACAACTCCACAGGCGAGATGGTTTTCCTCCCATGGAAGACGAGGATGATGAATCTTTGCAGATCAAAATCACTTTCCGACACAAGGGGTGACTGGGTGGCTCAGTCTGTTAAGCGTCTGACTTGGTTTTGGCTCAGGTCATGATCTTAGGGTCGTGGGTTCGAGCCCCATGTCAAACTCCCATATATGGTTGTTCTCCCTCAGTCCCCCCTCCCCTGCTCATGTGCGCACCCTCTCTCTTCTTCTATCTCTCAAGTAAACAAATAAAATCTTTAAAAAAAAAATCATTTTCCAGTGCAAAACATGGAATCACATAGAGCTGCTCCAGGGGCAGAGCCGTGTGCTGCTGACGTCCCTGCTACCATTCTTGGGCTCCCTGTAGCAGTTACTACGCGGGGATAGTGTCACTCTTCCTGTGCCCCAAGCTGTCCCCACCCCACCCGTGTGTCTCATGCTGTGGCTTTTGATGGCTCTGGGTTGTGTCACTGCACGCGGAAACCTCTGAGCTCAGCCACCCACCCACCGTGCTCCGGAACAATAGAATGAACCCCCCACAGAGAGCCTGGTGCAGCTGCCGCACACGCATGGGCGCCTGCCCTCACAGCGACATTTCACAGTGTAAATGACGTCTTCAGAATGTGGTGCGTGGATGCTTCTTACATGGAGTCCCAGGGCCCGGAGAGTCACGGAGTCAAGGTGGTGCCTCACCCAAAAGCATCACCTCTGCTTCAGCATTTGCAGGAAAATGAGACGTAATTTTATATGGAAATAAAAGGAAGAGACTTGATTATAATACTTTCCTGGGGTGGGGGGAATCACTTATTTCACAAGATTTTCTTCTTGTGAGGGCTCTCCTGGGGTCCTGTCTTCTCTGCATCCTTCCCTCAGCTGCCCTCCAGTCTCCTGCGCTGGGCGTCCGCGGGGGTAACTTACGCCCAAGAAGCATGGCATGGCTCCGCTCGGCTGAGCTGTGCACGTTGGAGCCACCAGGGTGACCGGTCGAGGAAAAATGCAGTTTCTGGCCTCAGCTCTGCCTCTGCATGGGCCGCACTGAGCCCGCTGTGCAGAGCCTGACAATGCAGCAGACAAACCGGGGCTGAGCGCTCTGTCTCGTTCGGGGTGGAGGTGGGGGTTGGCGATCTGGAAGTCTGCCCCCCAGGCTGGGCATCGCTCCGATCCTGTGCTGTCCTCTGAGGCGGCGTCTGATAAGCTGATATCTGATCGGATCAAGGGTGCACATTCTGTCTGTGCCTCTGGCGGTGATCCATCTTCTCTAATATATTCATAACCGTGGTATTAGGACGCACTGATCGAGTGCTCGGCCTGCTCTGGACACCGGGAGTGCCCGAAGGCTTACCGGCATTATTTCATGTAATCTTTCGCAAGATATCACTGAGCCGATTATCATCATCCCTGTTCCCTAAGCAAGAGATGTAGGGTGTCAGGGCTGAGCAGACACAGCTGCCTCTCAGGGAGCGGGAGGTGTGTACCCCATCTGACCCTTGGCTGTGAGGCCCCAAACACTTTTCCCCAATAGTAGGCCTGCTGTGTCTCCGTCTTCGCAGCAGATGTGGTCCAAACTGAGAGGCTCTCCTTCAACCAGTGTGGGCTCCCATTCAGCAGAGAATGGCCAGCCCTGTGGGAGCAGGCCCAGTGTCTTGGCCTGGGATCCAGAAAATCTGCTCAGGGATGGTCCTTATGGAAGTGGGTCTGGTGGCTGAGGGAAGGGCCACTACGGTGTTTAAGAGCTGCCCCTTTTGCTGTCTTATGTCTATGTGGTTCTATGATTCACTGTGTTTGTGTGTGTCGTACGTGTGTGAAAACATGTCGGTGTGTTTCCATGCGCATTTACCCCTTCTTCCTTATGAAGTCTGGAGCAACTTAGTCTCTGGGGGTCTCTTAAGGAAGGAGGCCCAGGGGGATGGGGTGGCCTGCCCCAGTGGATTGCAGACACATTGCCCCGGCCCACGGTGATGCTGTGACATCGGCGACCCATGATCATCCCTATCTTCTCCCTGTCATCATGCTGAACACCTCTGTAATCGTGTCCCTCCCCGGGCAGGGTTCTCATGTTCTTCTGCGTCGTTTGGCTTTCCCACATCTCTCTGACCTGTGGTCCAGCTCTTCCCTGAAGCCAGAGCTCACGTACCGTGTCCTCCTCCACGTTCCGTGCTGACGAATGGGCCCGCTTTACTCCCTGGGTCTATTTCCATTTCAAAGGCACAAACATGGGCAGAGTGCACTAGGATCGGATTTCCGTGGTGACAATGCCCCTTGATCCTGGGTCACTGTCTCTACAAAGTTAATATGACAAAGCGAGTGACTTTCACAAAATGCCCAATGTGATGGTGAAGGCATGTTTTCTGGAATTTCTCAGTGCCAGGTTGGAACAGTAATGTGGTTTTTTTTTTTTTTTTTTTTTTTTGCCGGGTTCTGTGTGCAAGGCCTTCCATGCTGCTCGCGGGCCTGCCCCCGACTGGCTGCTTCTGTGTTTTGCCCACCGCCCGGCATCCCTGGGCCATAGACTCACCCACTGAGCTTCCACAGCTTTTCATTCCCGTGTAAGGAACGGCGTCACGGGACTGCACTCACAGAGCACAGTTGGGGCACCTGGCTGGCTCAGTCGGTGGAGCCCGAGACTCTTGCTCTCAGGGTCATGAATCTGAGCCCCACCTTGGGCTCAGAGCCTATTAAACAAAACAAAACAAAACAAAACAAAAACAAAAACAAACAAAAAACAAACAAACCCCAAACCAAAACCCAAAAGGCAGAATTGATAGCCAGCCAACAGGTTCATCTTGCATATGAACAGAGTGTGACTCAAGAAGGGATTTTTTCCTCCCAGGGACTGAGTGAACTTGTAACGTCCTGTACCGCTTACTGTCCTCAGGAGGGGAGCTGGACAAGATGTTTGCCCACGGAGGTGCTGAACGCATCCGAGTCCTCGGCCGCATCTTGGTGAACCTCTCCTCCTGCGTGGTGCTGGACCGTTTCCAGGCACTGGAGTCTGTCGCCAGCCTGGAGGCGAAAGCCCGTGAGCTTATGCAACAGAACAGCTTCTTGGCTAGTAAGTATTCTGTGAGAAAATGCACTCCTGCTGGCACCGGCTCCTGGGGGCTTGCCATTTTGCGTATTTCCCCCAAACGTGTGTGCCAGTGACTCAGAAAGAAAAAGACCTCCTTGGGGCGCCTGGGTGGCTCAATGGATTAAAGCCTCTGCCTTCAGCTCGGGTCATGATCCTGGGGTCCTGGGATTGAGCCCCGAATCAGGCTCTCTGCTCAGTGGAGAGCCTGCTTCTTCCTCTGCCTGCCTCTCTGCCCACTTGTGCTCTGTCTCTCTGTCAACTAACTAAATAAAATCTTTAAAAAAAAAAAAAGGAAAAGAAAAGAAAAGAAAAAGACCTCCTTTCCCAACAGAACGAAACCAGGCAGAAAGATTCACCTTGAGTCGATGAGTTGTGTCTGTCTGTGTCTCAGATGCTTGGCCCCACACCGTTCCCAGCACCTGTGTTTACTAGTTTATGGTGTCATTTTACCGTTAAATCTCACATGATAAAATTATATCTTTCCTGGTTAAAGTTATGCTCACATCACTTTGACTTTTATCTTAGTATCTTGACGTCCTGAGTGTGCGGAGAAGGGGGAGATAATAGCCAGTCCGACTTCATCCATTCATGCCCATTGGTTCAGGATGCACGATGTGTTCTCGAATCCTGAATGAACATTGCATTATTTTTTAAAATCTGGGTTTGTATCAGTTTGCTGAGGGCTGCCATGACAGGACCACCGACCGAAATCTATATTCTCTTGGTTCTGAGATCCAGGTGTCAGCAGGGTGGGCTCCTTCTGAGACCATGAGGGGAGCATGCTCCAGCCTCGCCTCAGCGTGTCGATGGCTGCCTTCTCCTGGGTCTCTTACCATGTCGGCTCTGTGCGGTCTGTGTCTAGGTTTCCCCTGATGGAGGACACCAGTCCTACTGGGTGAGAGCCCACCCTAAGGACCTCCTTCTCACTTGACCATCTCCGTGAGGACACTGTCTCCAAGGGAGCTCACCTTCTGACCTGCTGGGGGTTAGGGCTTGCACATGTGAACCTCGGGAGGGTCCTGTCCCACCCCCAGTAGGCACTGTGTATGAAATTCAGAGAATTCATGGGCCGGAATTGAGTCCCTATGTTCACATTTTGAATGATCTTTATTCTCAACAAATGAATCATTGAATATTATATCCAAAACCAATGATGTACTATATGTTGGCTAATTGAATTTAAATAAAAAAAAAATGAATGATCGATAATCCCAAAGACGTTGGTTTCTTTTTGGAAATTGAAATCTAGCTGACACACGTGACATCAGTAAAATGTGACAACTCTACGTCCCGCCTTGCTCACCACAGGCGACGCGTGAACACCTGTCACCGTACTGTTGACCACAGTCCCTGTGCTGTTCCTTCCATCCCTAATCTCCTCCTTCTACAACCCAAGACTGCACCTTCCGTGCCTCATTCTCACGCAGGCATCTGTACCCCAGAAAAGGAAAGTCGGATTATCTGAGCAGCCTGCTGTCATTTTTCAAGTCCTGGAAAGGTGCAAAAGAAATCATTTTGTTACATTGGTAGGTTATTTTGTTGCAAATAACCGGGACACACAGCAGGTGTTTATTCTTTTATTTTTTTTTTTAAAGATTTTATTTATTTGACAGAGAGAGAGATCACAAGTAGGCAGAGAGGCAGGCAGAGAGAGAGAGGGGAGGAAGCAGGCTCCCTGCTGAGCAGAGAGCCCGATGTGGGGCTCGATCCCAGGACCTGGGATCATGACCCGAGCTGAAGGCAGAGGCCTTAACCCACTGAGCCACCCAGGCGCCCCACAGCAGGTGTTTATATAGCATTGCCTGCCTAACAGCGAGACTCAGTGATGCCTCTCCAGGGCGTGGTCTGTTCCCCAAGAGGGGGTTGGGCTGAGTCTCATGGCTCATCCACCTTCCCTCGACTCCTGCCCTTAGGTGTGATGACCCCATCTTCTCTTTTCCACCGGCAGGTGTCATATTCAACACTTCCCTGGCAGACAGGAACTTGGGGGCCCCGTCCCTGCGGCTGGCACCCCACGTCACCTACACTATCCGGACCAGCATCTTATACAGCATGAGGACGGACTTAGTGAAAAACCCTTCCTGGAAGTTTCATCCTCAGAGCCTACCAGCCGATGGGTTCAAGTACAACTACATCTTTGTCCCTTTGCAAGACATGATTGAGAGAGCCATCATCCTGGTGCAGACTGGGCAGGAGGACGTGGAACTGGCTGCGCAGACACAGGCCATGCCGTACCCGTGCCACACCAGGGACCTGTGAGTAGACACCACACAGCCACCCCACCCACACCCCCATTTTATGGAGGGATATGCTTTGCATTTGGACCCGTGTCTAGAGGAAGTCTTGGAGCTTCTCTGTAGTCGCTCCAAAGAGCATTTAAAGAAAGTCCATTTCCCCTTCTAATTGCTTACGATTAACTTACAACGTCTGGGGCCATCCAGACACAGGAGTGATTGCTGAGAAGACGGGATCCTGTGGGACTTTGAATTTGACACCAGGCGTCCAAAGACGTCTAAAGACCCTTCATAGTGAGTCTGGACAGTAGTCACAGGGGTTTCACGTGTCAGACTCCTGATGTCCCCCATCTGAGCTAGGGAAACAGAAGAGGTCACTCCCTCTCCTGTGTCAATCCAGAAAAATTTGGCCTACTTGCGGGGAAGAGCGGGATCCCCAGAGGCTGGGGACTGTGCCTTGGGGATGCGTGGGGCAGTCTGCAAACACATAGGAGTTCATTGGTGACCTGGCTGGTGATATCCGTGTGGGAGAGAAGTGGTGGTCAGTTACAGGCTAGAGCAGCTGGACCACAGCACTTGAAGGTGGGGGGCAGGCCAGGCAGGGCTCACAAAGAGGAGTGGGGGGCGTGCCTGACTGGGATGTGGACCCCTGGGTGCGATCGGGTGGTCAGCAGCCTGATAGCCACGTGGCTGAGGTCGGTGGGGGGGACTCAGCGCTGAGCGATGCTCTTCCTCTAGCCTCTTGTCCCGGGCCCAGACTAGGCTGGGGAGCACAGGAGGAAAGGGACGGAAGGGAGGTCATCAGGGGGACCACCTGGGATCTGTTTGTTAGGAGAGCAGGCAGAGATGCCGTCCTTTAGTGGGACACCTGCCACACAGAAGCTGGGGGACTGGGGTCACGCTGGCAAGATGGGCATCTTGATGTCTTATGCCCTCCTTGTCTGGGCACGTGCTCTCCACACTATAACTCACTAGTGCATTTTCACGAAGCCAAAGGTGGTGTCACAGAGGGGGCCTGCCCATAGTGGCCTGAGCACAGGCTGTGTCCTCCTGACAGTGACTCCCTTGGGGGACCAGAGCGTGGCGGACAGACCAGAGGGTCAGAAAGACAGACACCAGGGTGTCAATTTAACCCAGGGGCCACCTCACTGTGCAGATCACTGCGAAGCCCCTTCACCTCCTGCTTCGTAAAATAAAAGCATTTCTTTCCTTTCCAAGTGGCGGTGGTCTTGGCTTTGAACGTTTTCAGCCACTGCTTCTTCGCTCTTACATTGTTTTTCTTGGTGGCCGGTGCATCACGAGCAGAATTTGAGAAAAAGCCTTTTTCTGGCAAAGCGTCAGGTGCCAAACATCACAGCAGCCTATGTGCCAGGGTGTTGTGGGGATGAATGACTTGTTTCCAGTTACTTGGAGAAATCAACTTTTTATGATGCTATCTTCTCCTTTGGATCTCGGGAAGACGGCACTCTGTGAGCCTCTGTCTAGCTAGTGACCTTCACCGTGGAAGAGGGGCCCTGGGCGTGCCGGGAGGAGAGGAGGTTCCCTTGGGTCTGTCGCACAGGAGGAGGCTGGGGTTACCTCACCCGCCCCCATGCAGGGTGGCTCCCCAGGGGTATGTTGGGCAGAACAGAACAGCACCCAATCCTGCAAACGGCTTTATGGCGAGTCTAAGGTGGCCCATGTGGTCCGCTTTCCTTTCGTGCTGACCGTGGTGCTCGGCGAACGGACTTTGGGGGAGGAGAGGGATGTGAACGTGTGCCTCTTCACCCCTTGATGGTAGGTAAGCTCTTGGACTGAGGCCCATTAGGGCCTCGGGCTAGAGTGAGCTGAGGGCCCTGGCAGGATTCCGGTGTCACGGGTTTCCTTGATCCTGTCTGTTGTTGAAGCGTGGCTGATGTGCGTGGTGATTCCACAGCTCTGTGTGTCACAAAGGGCTCCCCACGTTCTGTGTTGCCATCTGTCACCGTCTACTGGACCATGCTATGGACCAGGCTGTGGGTTGCATCTCCCTGACTTATTTAATTTACAGTGGGGAGTGCATCAGTCTCCAGCCCCATCACCTGTTTCGACCATCCCCCTCCCCTCTCCTGCCAGTTTTTCTCTGTAGTTACAAATCTCTTTCTGTTTTCTTTTTCTTGTTAGTGTTGTTTGTTTATTTATTTATTTATTTATTGTTGTTGTTGTTTTTTTAGATTCCACATATAAGCACAATCATGTGGTATTTGTTGTTTTCTGTCTGACTTATTTCACTTAGCAGAATACCCTTGAGGACCTTGAGGTCCATCCATGTTGTTGCAAATGGCAAGATCTCGTCCTTTTTTATGGCTGAGTAATATTCTTATATATACACAGTGGGACACTTGGCCTAGTGGGTGGAAACATTTCTGTCTTGAGCTGCCTGACCTGTGTATCCTGCTACAATCCTGGGTCATGGACTCATTTTTACTCTTCTCCCTGGGCTCCCACGGCATTATTTCTCAGAAGTCTTACTCTACTCCTTTGAAGGAGGTGAAGACATACTGTCCTTTTCTGAGAGAGTCAAGCCTTGGAGGCTTTCGTGGCCTCATATCCTGCTTTCATTAATAGTTTCCGAAGGTGCCTGTCTCTTGAGGGCTGGGTGTACCAGCAGGAGCCCGAGGCTCCGTGGAGATCCTATAAGATCCTGACACTCGGCCACCTGAGGGACGGTCCTGAAGCCCGGCTTCGACCACAGAGCACACTCATGTGAAATTTTCAGTAGCTCCCTACTACTCGTGGATTACATGGTCCACATATAATCACTAGCTAGACAGAGGCTTACAGAGTGCCGTCTTCCCGACATCCAACTGAGAAGATAGCATCATAAAAAGTCGATTTCTCCAAGTACCTGGAAACAGGTCATTCATCCCTACAACATCCTGACACATAGGCTGTTGTGATGTTTGGCGCCTGATGAATTATGTGGTTGTTAATTGACTTATTTGTTCAACTCTATTTCTATACCGTTTATCGGTCTTGAGACCTGGGTGAGTCAATGAAGGGACAGGCTGAATCCCTGCTCTTGGGCCCGAGCTCAGGGACACGGTCCACGCATACAGGAAGCAGCTTGAGTTGAATACGGGGAGGAGGTAAGCGCCGGCCGGTGGGGATGAGGGTGGCCAGGAGTGCCCGGAGAATTATTAATGTGGTTACGGTCAGCCTTGCCGGGAAGGTGACGTTCAATCTGTTAAACAAGAAAGATTCAACTGAGTAAATTTAAAGATCAAATGGACTTTGTTCAGGGATTCATGAATCAGGTGTTAGGCATCGTCCCTTTCAGCAAATACGAAGGCGTGCCCAGAGCTATAGAAAGGGGAAAGCAAGAATGTTTTAAAGAAATTATTAGCAAAGAACGCATTGTTTCAGGCAAGGCTGCCCTCCCAAGGGGAGCCCAAGGGGTCTTTCCGGGGCTCACTCTTCTGCTGACCAGATAATCCTGGGTTGACCGGTTAAAGCTTATGTACATTCCTAGTGGGCTGGAACTTAGGCTAAGTATGACCTCTTGGTTTGCTGGCCTGGGCTCAGCACAAGTGACTCCTACAGGTCTGCTCTCTCTCTCTCTCTCTTTTTTAAAAGATATATTTATTTATTTGAGAGAGAGGGAGTGGAGAGGCAGAGGAAGAAGGATAGAGAAAATCCCAAGCAGCTCCCGGCTAAGGCTGGAGCCCGACCCCACAACATTGAGATCATGACCTGAGCTGGATTCAAGAGTTGGATGTTCAGCCGACTGAGCCACCCAGGGCCTTCCCTGCCCCCTCCCACATTGCCTATTTCACAGAAACACAGGGAAATGTGCTCTAGACCAGAGGAGCAGCTAGTGCAAGGGCCCTGGGGGCAAGGGTGGCCTGCAGTAGAGTGCACAAGGGCGCGAGGGTGGGAGTGGAACTCTAAAGCTACCCACAGAGCCAGGCTGCTGGTGGGCTGAGGGACGTGTATGGCTGCTGGAGGGTTTTGAGCTGGAGAGATGCCATCTGAGTCATGACATGAAGGCTGGCACGGGCCTTCATCATTAGCAGTCTGACATGTTTCCCCACGTGACTGTGGCCTGGTCTAACACCGGGGTGGATTCTGGTTGCTTTCAGAAGGGAGGTGACAGATTTGAGGAGGGTGTGATGGAGAGACATCAAGTTGGACTACTGTCCCAGGGCTGGAATGGGCATTGGGAGTGGTCTGGGCCCAGTGGGACAGGTGGGTCCCTGGGGCCCTCCCCAGGAGCTGCCTCCACGGAGGGGATGGTAGCCAGCATGGGGGGGGGGGAGGCAGGAGAGGCTAGAGGTAGGGACAGCACACCTGGAGACTTGAGTGTGGACCTCCCAGGAGCCCACTGTATGCGGGGGGGAGAGTGGAGAAGCAGGTGGTGGCAGAGAATGCGAGTGGAGGGGGATGGAGAAGCAGGTGGGAATCAGGCAGCAAAAGAGAGGGTTTTGTCTCTTTTTAAATTATTTTATGTTATTTGTTTTTAGTATAGGATCTGATCTGTTGGGAATAGTTGAGCAGGAGGGAAGAGATAATAATAATGAATATCTCCTCCTTCTTCCTTCTTCCCTTCTACCCTCCTCCCTCCCTCTTTCTTCTCCTCCTCCATCTCTACCACCCCACCTCTCTCCTCCCTCCTCCATCCCTCCCCCTTCCATCTCCCCTCCTCCCTCCTGGATCCTACCCCCCTCTTCTCCACGCCTCCCTCTTTCCATTCCCCCCTCCTTCTCTTCCTCCCTCCATCAGTCTCTTTCCTTTATAATCTGCCAGCAGCCCCTGGAGCTGATGTTTTGAGGGGCTGACACTGGGAAACGCACCTCTGGGGTGGCAGACTTGGGTGGGAGCAGGATGAGCAATACAATTTAAGGTTCCTTCCAGCCCCGAGATTCCCCGGGCGGTTATCACAGGACAATTTATGGTGGGAGCTCCAGGGGACTTCATGAATACAAAGAATGTCAAATGTTAATTCATGGCTCCAGAGAGTAAGACAACTTCCTGAAAAGGTTTTCAGCAAAATGAAAACCCTA